TCCCTGTCACTCTCCCACATGTCTCTCATCCGTCTGCCTCCAGGTTGAAGCACCGTCCAGGTTCCATTCTCCGAGTCAAAGAGGAGGAACATCTGTCCATGGAGGCCGAACTGCCAGGAGGCGCTCGTGCGTCCATGGGCTTTACACTGACACATCATCCTGCCCTGCAGGGGGAGAGGATCTGCCACCCCCACTGTGGGAAAGAGGTCAGCCTCTGGTCTTGACAAATTCTTTTCCCCCTCTACCCCAGTGTCCACCCCTTCTTCACTCCTCCAAGGGCTGGCCTTTCTGCTGGACTACTTGGGAAAGACCAACATCCTTTTTCTGACGTGAGTATAACAAATGCAGCGAACACCACTATCTGTTCTCTCCTGCTCTTGGACTTTCTCACTTACCCCTGTCCCTGTATTTCTCCGGTTTAATGTTCGGAAGCTGCTGTCTGAGCAAGTCCCCCACGTCTCTCAGCGTTTCCATCTGTTCTTGCCAGACCCTCGCGCCATTCACCTCCTCTCCCAGGAGACTCAAGGATTTCACCTCGTCTCTGCCACAGTCATAGGAAAGAAAAGTCTTTCCATCTACCTGGCCTTGAACCTCACACCATGGTTGTTCTGGTCTGTGCTGAGGAATGATGGTGAAGTCATAGCGAAGAGAGCCAGCCTCTGGGAAGGAGAAACACAGGTGAGCCTTGGGGTTGGGAGAAAAGGACCCCTAGGCCCCCACTCCCATCTCTGCCACAGCAAGAGGCTCTCAAGGGCCAGGCTGCAGAGCAGACACTGCCCCTGCTCCACCCCCCCTCAGGAATTCAAGGCTAGTGCCCCTCCCTTGCTGGAGGAGGAGAAGGGGGAGGGGAGAGGGGGAAGGAGGAAGAGGTGTCTGCCTGGCAAGAAGCCAGGGCCCTGCCTCCCATCCCTCCTACTCCAGGTTCTGGGTGCCAGGGGTGGAGGATTTTTCTGGAATGTGCTCTCAGCAAGGGAATAAGGTGCCAGTTGGTAGAGAGGTGATTAGAGACACTTCGTGAACGGGAAGGTGTTGGCGGCCCTGGGGTGTGTGGGGACGAGGTGAGGTGGGCAGTGAAAGGGTGTGAGCTGGGGTGGAGCAGCAGAGACACCTGAGGGACAGTGGCTGGGGCTGCAGATGTGCTCATCCGCTGGCCAGGCGCGCTGGGAGGTTCCTGGGGAGAGCGCTGAGCAGGACAGAGGGTGTGTGGGGACAGTTGTGTGAGCAGAGGAGGGCAGGCAGCAAGGGGGTTTGTGTTTCTGCGGGAACGCCCCCTGTCCTGACCACGCCCCAGGTGCCAGGGTCTTGAGCTCCCACTTCCCAAGGGGCGGGCGGGCTGGGAACCCGGGGCTTCAGCAGCCTTTCCTGCTGCACCCTCTCTCCCTCCCCTGCCTCCGCTCCCATTTTCCCACATTTCTTATTCGCCAAAGTCACCTTTCTCCAGGCCCTACAGATGCCAGGGAGTGGCCTTGAGGAGTGAGAGGCATATCCACCTGCTGAGAAGGTTCCCAAACTCTCGTGGGCCCCTGCATCCCCCTCCACCTTCGTAATGCATCCTGCCCTTCCCGATCCCCCACCTCCCTGCCCTCCACCCCGCCTGCCCAGCAGCTTCCATCCGGAGCTTCCATCCGGAACTCACCGCTGAGCAGCCCCTGGGACAGTCCCGCAGCAGGAGCAGGAGCCGGAGCCGGAGGCCGAGACTGAACTTGGAGCCCCCCGTCCACGACATCGAGACCTGCAGTGGGGTCGGTAAGCCAACTGTGCGAAGAGTCTGGTGGGCTGTCAAGTCCCAGTCTGGCACCAATGAGAAGCTGTCTCGGCTCTCCTGGCACTGTGCCTGGTCGGGTACCCGTGAGAGCTGTCCCAGCCCTCCTGGCAGTGTGCCTGGTAGGACACCAATGAGAAGCTGTTCCCGCCCTCCTGGCAGTGTGCCTGGTAGGACACCACTGAGAAGCTGTTCCCGCCCTCCTGGCAGTGTGCCTGGTAGGACACCAATGAGAAGCTGTCCATCTGTGTGTGGCCAGACACGTTTTATCTGGGTATCTCCTCTCCACGGCTCACCCTCTGAGCCTTATATGGGCCTGACCGAGTTAGGGAAGTTATTTCCTCTACTCCTGGCACTGAATTTTTTTCCCTTTCTTCTCCTGCCCCTCGCCCTCCATCTTTTCCCGTCTCTATTACACATTCACAATCGTTCCTGCTTTTTTTTTGTGAGGAAGATCAGCCCTGAGCTAACATCCATGCCAATCCTCCTCTGCCAATCCTCCTGTTTTTGCTGAGGAGGACTGGCCCTGGGCTCACATCTCTTCCTATCTTCCTCCACTTTATATGGGACACCACCATCCACAGCATGGCTTGACAAGCGGTGCGTCTGACAAGCGGTGCGTCGGTGCGCGCCCAGGATCAGAACCCGGGCAGCCAGCAGCGGAGCATGCACTTCACCACTATGCCACGGGGCCGGCCCTCATTCTGCTTTTCTTAAAAGACCCAAGATTTTCCCTCCCCAGAGCACTCCTGTCTTAATGAAGGGGACTGAACACAGCCGTTAGCTGTCCCGTCATCCACGGTATGTTTTCTACTATTTTCCATCCCAGTGGAGCCCAAGGCCATTTGTTAACCCAGGTAACTCCTCTTTGGAAAAGTTCGCGGCGCTGAGTTCCCTTTGTATTTCCGAGTTTCTCCAGCAAAGAGTCAAGGCAGCTCCAGCGCCACCTGGAGGCATTTAGAGGGATCCCCGCCCTAGGCTGCTGCTTTGGCACATGCTGGTTCTTTGGCCTTTTCATGTCACACTTGTCCAACCAGCATTTAAGTAGCTGCAGGCTCATGTGGGCATGAAGAGTAAAACCACGGCCTGCTGAGTCAGAGAAAGACTCTTGATTCTTCTTCAGTGGGTCCTGCCTGTGGTTTTATTTCCACACATCAAAGACACTTCAAGCGAGAGAGGAAGGCAGTGCCTGGGCCATCTCTCTCATCACCAGGGATCTTGGCTCATGGTTAACGTTGAAACACAACAGGTATGAATTACTACCCAACCTTTCATGCTCTCACGTGTCCTCCTGCTTAATTGGAGCAATAAGTCCTGGGCTTCGCTGGTTTTTTTCTTACTGAGGTCACCTTTCATTCTGGAAGCAAGACAGTTGCAAAGAAATCCTCAAAACCACAGTGGATCATTCACTCACGTGCACCGACTTATCCCCGGGTGTTACTTGGGAAATCTGCAGCCCTCGCATATACCAATGCCCTGTGGGCTGCCCTTACTTTCCTGTCCTTTATTCAAAGCTTCAGGTGAAGGGAATAACTGAGGTGCAGGGATGTTAGTGAAATTCTGAGGAGGTTCAGGTTTCTTCTGGTACCGTGGGGTGTGGGGGCTGTTTGCTTCTCTCTCTCCCTCTGCCTTTGCTCTCACTCCCAGGAGACACCTAAGCCGCTCTGGCTTTTTCAGTGTTGAAAACTGCTCTTTAGCTAAGTCCTGTTTAGACTCAGACCAGACTCTGAAGGGTTGCCTCTGTAGGCATCAGAGGAGGGAAAGGTTTTGTTCTTGTGAGAGTCTCCCTGGCACTGGTGAGCACACAGAGTGAGTATTTGGGGTGTGGGGTTCCTTGGGAGAATCTCTGAAAGAACCTCACCTGGGCAGCCACACAGCCGCCTGGGTGTAAGACAGACTACCAGGAATCACGTGAACACCCTCAAGGGAAAAGCGCTGTCATAAGAAATTGAATAATATCATAGCTTTTGAGTGTTTCCTATGTGTGGTGCTCACTGTTCCAGACCCTCACTTGCATCGCCTCGTTTGTTCCCCGTGACAACACCTGGAGAAGAGGACTCCTGTTATTCTCATCTTGCAAATGGTTACAGTCATCTGCCAAGGTCACACCAGAAGGACGTGGTGCAGCTAGGATGCAAAAACGGAAGTGCAGTAGAACTGTGTTAGGAGCATCTTCTGTTTCTCTCTTTCCTGCACTGGTAAACTGACTGACTGAAGGAGGAAGGAAACGGATAAGGTGCGACCTGTAGCTTTCTCAGTTACTTAGCTACCAATGTCTTTCTTTTCTAAATTTAGAAACAGTCTCCTCCCCATCATCCCCCCTACCCCCCACACACAAAGGCCTAGAATGTCTGGGATAACTTTTATTGAAGTGATTTACATTTTGTTTTTATGAAGATGATTAGTTAAAATATGTTCCACATCTGATGAATATATTCAGTTCATGGATTTATAGATTCCAAATCTCCCTGAACATCCTCACACTCTGTATCATGTTCCTAAATGTCATGTTTTACATTCTGACTTCAGATTTAAATGCATTGTACTGAATAATCATGAAACTCAGCGTCATCTAACGGGCTGCCGGCAAAATGTGTCTTGTTGTAATTAAGAACATATTATACAGTAATCTCCAGTTAAATGGATGTAGAATCTCCTGTTCAAGGGCAGACGATATATAACTTTAAAGTCGAGTGGAGAGCCTCTCGGTTCTGACCAATCATCTCTGCGTTCTTTCTTCATAAATGAAGAAACCAAGTCAGGAACATGGCCCTTCCCACATGCTCGGTCAACGTAAAGTGCTCAGTCCAGTACTGGACACACTAGGTGCTAAAAAAGGTTAGCTATTAATGTTATCATAGTTAAGCTGGCAGCAAAATTCTTCTTAGGGTGAGAACCTCATTGACTTTTGTTGCTGCTGTTTGAATACCTGAATGGGTCATTTGGACAGGAAAAGATAGGTCCTACAAATATTGCGACAAAGGTGGGGCTGACTATTCTACCACAGAAGATGAGAGAAGGAGGTCTGCAGATGTGGAGAACAGGGGAGATGAGAGAGGGGGGCTCAAGAAGGGGTTGGGGCTGGCACTCAGGGGCCAGTCTGACCGATGGGAGCTCCTGAGTGGTGAGGATGGTCAAGGGGCTTAAGAAGGGTACCAACATTGCATCTCTGTATGAAAAAAATTATTTGCATTTCTAAGGACAAGAATCATTTGCATTACTATCAGTTTTCTACAATTCATAAATGTTAACCCTGAAGGATCTGCCGGACAACCCCAGCAATCCATTGCAAGATACTCAGTCATTCCTTGCCATTTCAAAGTCTTTTCACAATTTTTTCTGACAATCTTAATCCAAAAATGGGGATGAGCCTTCTTGTGAGCTTGTTCTGAAGACTACAGATACATCTGAATGGCCTGGTGCTGAGTCAGTGCTCCAACAATGACAGTTATTATTATGAGGAAGTCAAGGCAGGATGAGAGTTTACTTTTGGGGCAACCATGAATGTACACCATTATAAGGCAGTCACAGTTTGGCAGCAAATGGCTCTCCTATTGCAGACTTGGTCACTTAGGTGACGGGGTAGGCAGTCCCCCATCTGCCATTTAGAACTTTAGGTCTATCTGTCATTGCCACTACACACTTGGCTGGGGAACTGGTCCTGATTTTCCTCTTGATGGCACAGCAGTCAGCCCTAAGAGCCTATGAGAAATGCCTAATTTCGTTACACCTTTATAAATATTTTCAAAAAATTAAATACTGAGTCATCAGCATTATTTTTATTCAGCATTCATATATGCAATTCATCATTCTCAGAATAAAGCTTTTAGAAGCAAATATGAAAGTAGATGATAATAGAGGCAGATTTACAGCTGCTTGAACAAATAGGTCCCAGAAGTGCCCATTAGTAGCTAATGTCCATCTCAAGGGAGCTCTCTAGTGGTACGAGCAATGGCTTGTCCACGCACCTTTCCTGATCAACCTTAGTTCTCAAAGATGGCAATAAAGATATATTAATTTTGCAGCTGACACAAAGCATAGAAATATAATAAACATGATAGACGACACTCAAAGTTCAAAATTATTTCTGTTGTAGATGAAAACCAAAAAGCTGAGATGTAAGAAGGATAAATATAAGGTCCTGCACTGGATTCAACAAATCAATTCACAAACACAGGATGGGGGAGGCCATCAGGACAGCCGTTCATATAGAAAGATGAAGCGGGTTTTAGGTAATTCTGCTAATGGAAAACTCAACATGAATCTATTATGTGATTCAGCCACTAGAAGAGTTTATGTAAATTAAGCCTCATACGTAGAAGGAGAGACAATGTCTGGATCACAGGAGGTAATAATCTGAAGGAAGAGTAGTCTGCAGTCAGGAAGAACCACAGTGCACTTATGGGGATCAATTGGGGGTGTTGGATTTTAAGAAGGGCTTAGACGAACCTGAAAAGTCCAGGAGAGGCTGGATGGGATGGTCTGAAAATCAATTTATAGGAGGAACATCTGAAAGTATTGGGAGTGCTGAGTTCTGAGAGGCACATTCCAAGTGGTGCCCTTCATTTGTTTCAAAGACTTAAGGGGCTGTTACAGAGAATAAAAAGGTGTGTTCAGTGCTTTTCCAAAGAGAAGACCCAGCACCAACGCGTAGAAGGAACAGGGAAGCACATCCTGTTTGCCTAACCATTAGAGCTGATTACAGATGCCACAGGACACGATGTGAATAGTGAGCTCCATCTCTGGGAATATCGGGTGGAGAGTGGAGGACCCCTGGAAGGGAGGTGAGAGAGGGGCTCTCATACGGATGGGAGGATGGGTAAGACACTGACCACGGGTCCAGTCAGATTCTAAGACTGTACAGTCATTGAGTAAATCAATGTACTTGAATCAGTCTTGAGGGGCTGGCTGAGTCTATATAATAGAATATAAATCAGTGCTTCCCCACAGAGGAGAGACCCTGT